CCCCCTGGATTTTTCAGCTTGTGCTGCTTTTTTCGTGTGTGATTTAAAATGAACTGTAATACCGGCGCCGGCCAGTAGGTGGCGCTGTGTATGGAGAGAGACAGGGATAGGAAGCTGCATCTTATCCCTGCTTCTCTCTGCTGATTGAAACCGCAGGGGAACAACACATGCAGCCAGAGACAGCCTACAGATCAGGGGAGTGAGGGATGGGGGGAGGGTTTGAGATAGACTATAGATTTTTTTTGGGGGTCAAGCAGCTCTATGGGGATTAGGAGTGAGGCTGGGGCAGTGTTTCCATAGACTAGGGGAGTGGGAGGGATGGGGAGGGGTTTGAGATGTGCCTATAGATTTGGGAGCACATAGATTTGGGAGCAGTCATAGATTTTGGGGGGGAGCAGCCTACAGGATTTGGGAGGGGAGTGCTCATAGATTTGGGGGGAGCAGCCTATAGATTTGGGGAGCAGCCTATAGATTTGGGGGAGCAGCCTCATAGATTTGGGGGAGCAGCCTATAGGACTTGGGGGGGAACAGCCTATGATTTGGGGGAGGAGCAGCCTATAGATTTGGGGAGGGGAGCAGCCTATAGATTTGGGGGAGCAAGCAGCCCATAGATTTGGGAGCAGCCTATAGATTTGGGAGCAGCTCATAGATTTGGGAGGAGCAGGCCTATAGGATTTAAAAGGAGCAGCCTATAGATTTGGGGGAAGCAGCCTATAGATTTTGGGGAAGGGACAGCAGTCTATAGATTTGGGGGGTGACAGCAGTCTATAGATTAGGGGAGTGAGGGATGGGGGGAGGGTTTGAGATAGCCTATAGATTTGGGGGAGCATCAGCCTATAGATTTGGGGGGGGGCAGCAGCCTATAGATTAGGGGAGTGAGCATAGGCGTGCGCAGCCTATTGCATTAGGGTGTGCACCCTAAAGCACAAACACACGCCATGTGTATATGTGTGTGTGTATGTATATGTATATATATACATATATATATATATATACACACTGCTGTGTGAGGGTGCTGGTAGTGTGCTATGTGGGTGAGGGTGTTTTTGTGTGTGTTTGTGAGAGTGCTGTTAGTGTGCTGTGTGTGAGGATGCTGTTTGTGTGCTGTGTGTGAGGGAACTGGTAGTGTGCTGTGTGTGTGTGTGTGAGAGGGTGTTTGTGTGTGCGTGTTTGTTCGGGTCCTGTTAGTGTGCTGTGTGTGTTGTGTGTTTGTCAGGGTGCTGTTTGTGTGTGAGGGTGCTGTTTGTGTGTGGATGCTGTGCGGGTGTTGTGTGTGGGTCCTGAAGGATCCTGAAGAAGATGCAAGTCAGCAACCTAACCACAGAGGGAAAGGATTTTTTGGGGGGGTTTAACAGTGAGCAGCCACAGGCTGTAATACATGCAGTTGCCTTGTGAATTGCCTTCAGCAGCTTTCAGTTTCAAGGATACTCAAGAATCAGAGCCCCTTCCAGAGTATTAACATAAGGACAAAAGGACAAATAGCTTGCATGAAAATGGCAATGTAAAGATGCCTGATTCCAAAACTTGAAAACATGTTAAGTGAACTTCTCCATAATACTAGCTGAAGCTCAGCTCAATGTGATAGCTGGACTCTAGGCACCAGATATGAGTGGCATGGGATTTGTATTCCCTTTACTTCTATTACACTATGAATGGAAATATGTGCAAATACACATCTGGATTCACACACATATAGTTGCGCTTCATGCAAACCACCCGTGTGTGAGCACACAACCACACACATACAGTGATGTAAATGCAAAGTAAAATGCTGGGTGTGCACATTTAGGATAGTAAGTTCATTTTGGGCTTGGCTAGTTGTTTAGAACTAACATTACATCAAAAATCTGTAAAGGCTAAAATGTTGTGTAATTCAGTGCAGGCGTACACACTATGTCATGTGAACACTAGCAACAGTGAAACGTAATTGCAGCATCATGTAACATTAATGTGTGCACGTAGCACACAAAACAACATAGCTAAATGGTGAGGGTTAGCCAGGAAATTAAATAGGCAAATATTATTGATACTGATATTTTGCTGTTACTCCAAAATCTTTTGTTTACAGCTGAAGTCATCAAGGAGATGGATGCCAACGGCGATACATGCAAATATCTAGTCGCTCGCTCTATTTACTCAGAATCAGACTTCCAGGAGAAAAAGGACAAGAGAAAAAACACTCAGAAATCATTCCGAAAGAGGCTAAAAAAGAAATGCAGGTTGTAATGCCCATCATGTTGTATCTTACACTAAACTTATGGGAGTAGGAGCTAATGCAGCTGCATCTCCAGGTCCGTTGGAATAGGCTCATGGAATTTAGAGTGAATTCAAATTTTAAATAGACACCATAGTCACCAGAAGCTTAATGGTGACACTCCTGTCTCCTCTTTCTGAGTTGGCTCAATCATCTGGCGTTCTTGCTGACACAGGTCGCTGTTCCTAGATGCCATTTAATGGCTCCGCGTTCTGTGGCTCAATTAGTGATGCAAACGTGTGTACACTTGAAACTGTGAACAACCAATTACTGTACTCCCAGGGATATATAAGCTTTTTCTGGCATTATTGCGGTGCCCTGGTGTGGTTTCTCTTAGAGGTTATCCGAGAGCTTGTTTATATATTTAATTATATTGTATTCTGACCCCAGCTTGTACCTAAACTATCTCCACTCTGTTTTTCTTGAAATTTGTCTTGACTTATTAATTATGTTTTCCTTGTCTCCCTGACCTTGGTCTGTTCTATCTTACTATTTTACTAACAACTAATTCTATTTTACTTTTTTTGTGCTTACACACTTTAACACCAAGTGCTCCTTGTACTTATGCTCTGCTTATGGTGCACAAGGCTTGAAAAGGCCAAAAAGACACTCTCACCTTCTTCGTGACAGGCACAGTCTTGGTTGTGATGTGATACGCCCCTTCTCTTTCAATCATAAGTATCTGGTATTCTACATGTTCATAATACCCAAGCTAACAAGGCAGGTGTGGCAAGCGTGTTTATGCATCATATTCTCTTCTGACAAACTGAGTTCAAGGCGAATCCTGATGGTAGACTGAACATATATAGCCTTTTGCATGTCTATATGCTCCTAACTTCCACCAGGATTACTTTTCTGAATTTCAAACAGGCACACTCATAGTATGAAGGAACTTAAATGTTGCCTTGGATC